CAGGTGCGGCCGAATCCTTCACTATTTTTCGCGAACACCCCCGCCTCACCCGTCGTTTTATCTACTCCCTCTGAATATTTCGTAAAAGCAAGAATTTAACACTTGGAATTTCGTTCTTACTCCAGGTCAGATCAAGGCTGCTTGGTTTCTTGATTGCTAATTTGGTGTCCGCATTTCTACCGAGCAGGCCCGGCGGTCAGCAGGGATGTCAACTTGTTTTCGAGCCGTTTCAACCATCAGCCACCAGGGTGGCTTTCCAACCCATCTCTAGCCACTCCGTTGAATGACCTCAAGTACGGCGTCCGAAGGGGACAAAAGGGCAGAAACGTTTTTTAACTATACTCTGGAGTAATCGCGCTAAAATTCCGCCAGCAGAACCACCTCAAAGACCTGCTTAGTTTTACCAATTGGCTACTTGTCCTGAGCACCAACATAGAGGTGCAAGTCCTGCTTAGGTGTTATACACAGGGTGTTAGACCCGGTGTAACTGTCCCTTTTTAAGCGATACTGAAGTCAGGTATAAAAATTTCCTTAACCTAACTGTCAACCTGACTGTAAGCGGCGCTTCCGTATCGGGTCTACGTCGGCGATGCTTTGAAGGAGCTAGCGACGATCGAATGGCCTCACGACGTATAATGTTACGGATCTCAATTGGGAAGGAGAGGTCAATTGTCAATTGCTTCAGAATGAACAGAATGAATCGCTTGGAGTCCTCTTCCTCAAGTGATTCAGGGACTTCCTAAATATAGGAGATTGGTCTTGAGCTCGGGGAGCAAACTTGAAAGTCCGGAGAGCGATCCCTGGAGGCCAGGGGGGCAAACCTGCGTTGATACGACGTCGCTGCGTTGGAGCCTGAGCCGTCAGCAGCCACCATGACACTGACCTGACCTGGCCGTTAGCCACTCTACTCAGGCATCATACAATATGACCCTCATATTCCGCTTCATACATTCCTAGTAGCGCAGTACATAGCTACTGCGGTTCACAGAAGGGTCTGACATCAACACAACGCCAATCACTACTAAGACTACAGAGATTGATCTCAGTCAATCCACACAACCAGAGCTGAACGCCACATCCTTAGTGTCGGGGGAGCGACCATTGCAGCCCAGACATTTTCTTGGCCCTATTATCTTTGAAATCATCACGAGATTAATTGTGTTCTAATTGCATTGTAGCTACTAAGATTAGTAAAAACAATCCTATTCAGCGTTAATGGACTTCCTTCCTCAACTACTCAATACCATCAGCTCAATAATTCCAGACTAAAATACTTATGCCCGGGTGGTAGATCCACACGGACAAAGGTTCCCTGCGGATCAGATTCATATAGCACAACCCACTAGTCTTTAAAGACGTTTAATAGACTAACCTACTACTTAAACAGACTATACTATGGATTCTAGAGGAAGGCTTTATTAGTAAAATAGATTCCTAGATACCTTTAGAACACATACTCGAAGAACTAGAGTAAATAGTAGGTAATAGTATAGTTATATATATAATAATTTAGCTGCCTAGACTTAGATTATATTAGCTTAAGTAGACTATATAGGGAGCTAACATAGCTACTAGGTAATCTTAATAATAGGTCTAGGGTGAATCTTACTATTTTATATATTACGCCTAGATCTATTATCTTAGTTATGGAAGCTAGCATGGTCTATTTAGTTAGAAATAAGGACTAGGGATTAATAAGAGTTACTTTTTATAACTTACTACTAGTCCTTAGGGCTTCCTTATCTTTATTATATATAGAGGGCATAAACTAGTTTCTATTAATCCATGCCTAGGTAGCTAGGAGGTATATTATTTCTATAAATAAAGGTACTACCTTATTAATATTAGAGTACTTACTAAGATAATAAAGGAACTCTATTATTCTATAAGGATATTAGGCTTACTTATAGTAAGAGCTATTAAGAAGCTTTACATGCTCTCTAGACTCTAGAGTATAAATCTATATATTAATAGGCTGCCCTCTTACGCGTGATTAGCTAGCTATAATAAGATATTTAGCAAGCTCCCTAAAAGTACTATTATAACTATTAAAATCATATAAGCAATACACTAGAAACTATATAAGATAGGTAATATTAGTAGAAGTTAGTACCTACTTCACCTCCTAGTCCTCGCTCCTATTAGTATTATTAATAGCCTCTATCTCCTACTTATACTACGCAAGGAAATCTAGTAGCTAATTCACGTCCTTTAATAGAAGGGGCTCTTAGAACGGCCTATAGAGTATAGTAGCTATAAGAAATAGCTAGTAGAATATATAGTAAATGCCCTCCCTATAAATAGTATACTCTTTATATAACTTTTTCTCTTAACGCGTACTAAGCTTATGGTTAGCTAAATTACTCTAAGCATATATACTCACTCTCATGCACTATACTAGATACTTAATATTAAGTATAAAGTATAGTATAGCTAATATTAGTTTTACTATATTACTACTTAATAAGGTAAGTAGAAGTGGGTGTAGTAGGAGCTCTTAATTTTATAAGTATTTTATAACTAGTACTATAGTATGAATCTAAACATTTATTAGACCTAGCTACTTGCGTAAGACCTATATACTAAGTAACTTATAAGGATAAGGCCTTTATTAAATAAGAATATATCTAATTATCCTATACTCTAGATTACCCATAACGCGTTATTCTTCTAGACTAAATAAAGTAGCTTATATACTAATATAAGCGTAGTAACCTACTAAAAATTATTATAGGATATAAGTATATTACTAAAGACCTTATATAGTAGCCTTAAGAGGGTTACTATATTTATACTTATAGCATGTTATAGAGCTAGAACTTAGGCCTATAGCCCTAAAGGGTATTATTATTAGTATCTCCTCTTAGGGGCGAGTCATATTACTTGCTTAGCATATACTATCTTAGTAGGGGGGCAGGTCTGCTATTTATTACTACTTACACGGGGTGACCTTGAATAAGGAAGTTGGTGTAGAAGATACTATATAGAATTAGGAGTAGATTATGCCTCTTAGCATGATTATTCTATCTATTATAGAAGATATAGTACCTAGCATACCTATAACTCTCCAAGCTACGATATTAAATACACATCGCCGCCTTGAACCACGTGGTAGGGGTTAGCTGGCCTAGTCTATGGGTCCCCTTCCTAATCCACACTAGAGTCACCCTGAGCATTCTTATGGCCATAGCAATACCGCCGAAGTCCACGGGCCTCAATCCACACTGCATAATCATTCGTCCCCGTATTCCTCATTTCAAAGTCGAATGTGAATATCATCCAGTCCACATCATGCCCATCTTGTATGTTATCCTTTGCAAAATGGCCCCTTTTTTGATACTTGTCATACAAGCGCTGCATATCGGCAATTAGCGCTGCCCATTCACAGTAAGCTACCACGCAGGTAGTAGTAACATACCTTGAGCTGACCGTGCCCTTGAGCCTGCCAATCCTGATCTGTGCCGCAACTCTCCTTCAATTTTGACTTACTCTGTGCGTCACTCCGACGAATGGTGCATTGATGAAATATTGGCGCGCCTTGCATGCCTGGTTAGTCTCTTGCATAGCCCTCGAGTAAAAGCATGGTTTCGTACAGTATCTATTCGCGCCCTGGCCTCCTTCAATCCAGCTATCAAGACCGAGTGTTAGCAATGCTCATACGACACCTAGATCTCGATAAAGCAGAGTAGTGTATACCTTGCTGCTGGCCATTCATCGCATGGCAAGGTAACATGGCGCTTCTTGTACTTCACCCGCTGCACTCCATTGTCATCCTGGTAGAAGATCTCTTCTGCCAGACCCCTTCTGCCAGACCCCTTCCAGTTGTCGCACCCTGTCCATTCGCTCCTCGCCAAAGAGTCACAGGAACAAATATCCCAGCAAGGCTGTTGGTCGTAAATGGAGGCTGATCCGCCTCGGGACAAACGTGAGTATCCCAGTAGTCATTGCCACAGCTCACATCCCGTCGTTTCCATCCACGTGTTGGCCGCTTGGTACCAATGGCATCATAATGAAGGCCCATCCTCTGGGTCACCCCGGCACCCAGATACCCGCCAGCAGTCTTGCAGAGGGATTTGGCTACATCGCAGTTGTATACCAATTTTGGCCGCATACCTAGGCTCTGGAGATCGTTCACTTGCGATAATACAACAGTCAGAGTTCCGCAATGACTGTTGGTACCGCTCAAGGGATGTCCGACATACCCTTGTATGTATAAACCGTATCATTGTCCTCCCAAGCTTGAGCGCGGTAAACTTCAAAACCGTTCTCTATGACCGTGTTTTGCGGACCTGGGAATTGCGCACGGACAAACGTGCTCAAACAGAGGAACAAAACCCAGGGCAGCTCCACGGTGAGCCGTGATTGTTTGAATAAGCAGAAAGGAGATATCGGAATCAGTCACCATCTATTGTCGAAAGATTGGGGGTGTAATCGTCAGCATTGTCGGGGAGGTCCCATCCGTTGGGGCAGTACTCTGGGCGCCCTACCCTCCACGACCTCGTGAACCTAGACTCCATCCCGGTCGTACGCCATCAGCTCCAAAATGAGATGGCAATAATGTTGCAAGCCTATTGCTCAGGCATTGACGCGCATTCCTGACCCGGTGCAAGATTAGCTCCACACACATAATGGCCAAGAGCGGACAGCGCCAAATGGAAGCGCATACACAAGGAGTCTCTGTAATTGCACAGTTGTCAGCGACGAGGTAAAGTGCAATGACGCTGAACAGACACCAGAAATCGTCCACTTACTCTGTTGTTCCGCATCTAACGGCAAACACATGTATGTTAGTACACCTGTTGGTGAAATTCCATAGATAGTAAGAAACGTACTCCCCATCTCGCGAACAGCAATCACCAAACTCAGAGCCAATGCAAGTTACTTCAGCTGCTGCTTGCGAACCACCGAGCCCATATGTCGATACTGGGAAGCTTGTGACTGGAGTCAAGATCAGCAAGAGCCTCATCAACTAAGGCAAGGGGAACCCGTATATGATGCACATGTGCTTCTTCAAGGATCGCAGTAAGACACTTGATATTATTAAGCGCGCGGATGTCGCTGGGTTCAAGGCGGTTGTTGTATCTGTCGACGTCGCGGCGCTGGGTCTCCGACTCAATGAATACCGCAACAACTTCAAGATGCCTTCTGGTGTCACCAACGTCTTGATTGCAGACCCACCTGGCGTTCGAAAAAAGCGCCCTGAGTGGGATCCATCCGTCACCTGGGACGATGCTATCAAGTGGCTGCGAGAGCACACAACGATGGAGATCTGGCTTAAAGGGAGTACGGATCTTCCACTTCCAACTGGCTACCTCGATAGTGTGCTAATAATCAACTAGTCCTGAGCCCCGACGATATTTCCCTAGCAATCCAGCACGAAGTTGACGGGATTCTCATCTGGAACCACGGAGGCCGGCAGCTCGACGGCGTTCCAGCGACATTGGACGCCCTGCGCGAGTGCGCACCAATCGCCAGGAACAAAATCAAATTAGCCGTCGACGGCGGAATTAGGCGTGGCTCTGACATCTTCAAGGCTCTTGCTCTGGGTGCTGATTTCTGCCTGGCCGGTAGACCACCGCTCTGGGGACTTGCCGTAAGTTCTGTCCCTCCACGTGTATGAGTCACGTAGTGCACCTTATGCTAACACAGCACCTGACGTTCAATTAGTACAACGGGGCAGAGGGAGTTGATCTGTCAGTCAAGATTCTACTTCGGGAGTTTCAAACATGCATAGCGCTCTGCGGGTATGCTCTCATCCATAAATTGTCCTTGGAGTTTGACTAAACTGACAAGCCTGGTATAGTTGTAAGACAGTGAGCGACACTTCCATTGATCACCTATCAACGCTGAGCCCAGATGGAAGGCTTAGCCGCCTCTGATGCAACACGATGTACCCCATATATCTCATGGAGAGAGGTTGTATCAGTTTATTAGACCCCAATCTTATTACGTTCTAGATATCCAGATTTACGGTTTAAAGAAGCGGGTCTGCTATTCTTAGACGGTCTTGCTGGCACGGGGATGTGTGGCCTCGTCCGACCTTCCGATACCGTAGACGGATCGACATACAGTAGCCACTTTTCTCTGCTGCGACACGTTTTCGATGCTGCAAGGTTAGGGTTCAGAAAACGTTTTGTCAGCATGAAGAGTAGAAGGACATCTCGGGTGTGTCTGTATCTCATATTATAGCTGGAGTACTGACTGTAGCAGAAGCTTCCGCTCGCCCCAGAAGACAAAAAAACACCGCTCTAGATAACAGGGCGGCTTCTAAAAAGACGCGGTGCAGGCCTTTGGGGACTGCCCTTTGATTGTCTTCGTCTCCCATATATGGCTACATGGGGTTAATGATAATCCCAAGGCATATTATCAAGTGCCCCGCAAGACGCTTGTGGAGAGTGCCTGTATGCAGGCTACTGAATACCCTCAGTGATGCTGAACAGTTGCGACAGGGCATTTAAGCACAGTATGCAGCTTCTTTAATAAGTTTCGGCTACAGCAATCCACTGTTGCGCATCTTGCTGGCGAAAGTTCATTGCCGCCTGTGCCTCCCGTGGCATGACCTCTTGGGCTTCTATGGTGCTTTCTGCTATTACAAGTGTATTACTAACTTTAACATCTTGAATTGGAGTATTGTTCTCCCGGGTATCACGCTGTGAAGGGGAGAGTTAAGAACATCGAGCAAGCCGTATGTGAAGCCCCACAGACAAATCAGAATTGTCACTATTGTAGAGAACGGCGAACTTTGGACGTGAAGAACTTAATTTACTCAGCATGATAAATTTTCTTAGTAAGGATATTAAAGAGCAGGGGTTGCCTGAGCGTCAGTTGAGCGGCATTACTGAGATTATCATTTGTAACCGCGAGCTCTCGCTTGCTAAAGACGCCCATTCTGTCAGACCCGACGGGTTCTGCAGTCGTATCCGGTTGCGGAAATATTGTAATAGAAGACAGCATTTAAATGGCAACGGCTCCTTGTACAGAGCGTACCACAAAGCTAAGGAGCCACCTTGTGGCCTGTCGGGTTTACATCCACCGAAATCTTGAAGGGAAGCGAAAAGTTGTCGTGGCATGAGAACATCACGTCTCTAGAAAGGGTGTAGATTATTCGGACTGGGCGAATGCAATTGATCTGGGACATGTGGGTCTGGGGTGCCAAAGAAATGTGGAGGACTATCGCGGTTGTGGTCTTTCCCCCCAACCCCCTTTATCTTTTCGGCTGTCACTGAACCGAAGCCTTCGCCTGAGAGCTCAGCTGACGGTTTGCCAAGTTGGAGGTCTGAGATTAGCCAACTTGGGCCACTTTTCTCCAGCTAACAATCGAGGGCCCCAGAAAAACGGGGTCCACACCACACCGAGGAAAGGCGGAGAGCCAAGGCCACACAACACGGGGAAATATGTTGTCCCAAGAACGGAGCGGTTAATTATGAACCTTGTTTACAGCTCAGCATTGGAGGTCTGGGCACTTTTCATTTGACTGCGAAGTCCACGCTGGACTCTAACTAATTTAGAATACGAAATCGAGAGGGGAGAGAAAACAATATAAAAGCTATGAAAGGCCCGTCTCGGTACTCTACTTTCATCTTCGATTATGCAGATCCCCAACAGAAGCTTTCAACCGGCTAGCATGATTTGCATACTGTTTGCTCTGATCGGGACCTGTCTGGCTCAGCATTGTTGGAAAGATGTTGAGTGTACAGGACCTTTATCCGCCGCCTTCCCCGGACCGTGGGAATCCAACATCTTCTCCCCGAGTCTGCGGACAGTGCAGCCCAAAACTGTCCTCACTCTACCTGATGGGAAAGCCTTGATGGAGTACGGATCCAACCTCAATCTGAACAAGACAACCCCAGCTTTTGTTTTCGACTTTGGAATTGAGGTTGGTGGTCTTGTTTCAGTGGACTATACCGCAACTGGGGCTCCAACCCAACTTGGGCTTGCCTTTTCAGAGGCAAAGGACCATATTGGTATAGAGTCTGATAGTTCTCGGGGAGGCAGATGGGTTGATAGTGCTATCTTTGCTAATGCCTCGGGTAATGAAACATATACGATGCCCGATGCAAAGCTGCGCGGCGGTTTCCGCTATCTTACGGTGTTCCTCGACTCTCCCGACTCGGACTCAGCTGTCACCCTCAAGAATATCACTGTTGAGATATCCTTCCAGCCCACTTGGAGTAATCTTCGAGCTTACCAAGGCTACTTTGACTCATCAGACAATCTCCTCAATAAGATCTGGTATGCTGGCGCCTGGACGTTGCAATCAAACTCGATAGCCGGAAACAGTGGTATGAGGACACCACGGGGTGATGGATGGGACAACATTGAGCAGATCAGCACTGAGGATACAGTTCTCGTTGATGGGGCAAAACGAGACCGACTAATCTGGAACGGGGACATGGGCACAGCCGTGCCAAGTGCCTTTGTGAGCACGGGTGACTTGCAAAGTGCCAAAAATGCAATCACTGTTATATTCGAAAACCAGGTAAATGGTCTACCTTTTATCCAAGAGATGCTGCAAGGCTAATGGCTAATAGGCTGAAAATGGCCAATTCCCAAAGGCCGGGCCTCCGAATGCGATTTTGAAGAGTGATAGTAAGCGATGTCCTTAGTGGTATATCCATAGAAGCTGATCGTCTGTGCTAGCGTATCACCTCTGGCACTTAGTCGGCACCTACAATTACCTCCTCTACTCGGGAGATACAGAGTTTGTTGCAAAATACTGGCCTCGTTTCGCAAAAGGACTTAATCGCACTCTTAGTCTGCTGTCCTCCTCCGGGATAGTAAACGTCACGGGTGATCAGGACTGGGGGAGGTTCACATATGGCACCGAGCGTGCCTCGGCTAGCATGCTGTTTGTTCTCCAAAGATTTCTTGCAGGCTATATTCCACACTAACGATTGTCCAGACTCTACCGAGCACTGACAGGAGGCGCGGACATCGCAACTTGGCTTCCAGAGTCTGTACAATCCGCACAATTGGCCCCGTTATACCTTGAGCAGGCAGCAAATTTGAAGAAAGCAATTATGACTCAACTCTGGAACGAGGAAGTCGGTGCTTTTAGGGACAGTCCAGGCTCTAGTCTTTACCCACAGGACGCCAACAGCCTAGCCGTTGCCTATGGTATTATTAACCCAGACAGTGAAGAAGCCCAACGAATATCAGACTACCTTGTTTCCAACTGGACACCTATTGGACCCTCATGCCCCGAACTCCCTGGTAATATCTCTCCATTCATCTCGAGCATTGAATTGGATAGCCACTTCCGGGCGCGCAGGCCCGACCGGGCGCTAGACCTTATCAAGAACCTTTGGGGGTGGTACCTGAGCCATGAAAACGGCACACAGTCTACCATAGTTGAGGGGTTTACTACTAATGGGACGTGGGAGTATCGTCGACAAAGGGGTTATACAAAGGGCTCGCCATATCTATCTCATTCACATGGTTGGAGCACGGGGCCAACTTCTACATTAACAGAGCATATGCTAGGGTTACGGGTGACAAAGCCAGCAGGTGAAGAATGGCTGCTTCAGCCAGCAAGCTTTACCGAGCTTGACTCGTTCCAGGGTGGATTCGTCACAACCAGAGGACGGTTTTCGGCCAAGGTCAGGGTTGGTAAGAGATATGTGAGGGTCGAATGGAATACGCCGAAGGGGACAAGAGGGTTAATTGATTTACCTGGGCAGGAGTCTTTCTGGGTGAGTGGGGGGAAAGGGAGGAAGAATTTTACGCGGTAGACGGAATGGCGGGCGTTCTGCTATGCTTTTGTTTAAGACTAAACTAAGAGCCGGCTACAATACTCTAAAGATAGGTTGGAATGATATTGGACGTTCACCCGAACACTAGTTCTACTTCGAGATTTGAAGCAGGTATCCAAGGCACCCCGCCTCCTTCTGGGCAATGGGGCAACAGAGTTGAGGACCTGCGACCTTGCCAATCAGAGCGGCGACAAAAATCGCAAGCGTCAAACAGCTGACGTGACCAATTTTAAAAGCCAGAGAACAACTGCTGAAGAACGACGACAACTTGAGTACCTCCACGCTCAACTGGGCTTGTCTTCAGCACTTGATGGTCTTCTTTCGAGGCAAGAACATTGAAAACCATCGTGATCAGTCGGTATTCGGGAACTATCTGCCCGGGGTAGGTAGGTAGGACTATCTAGTGGGTCCTTGAAGGGTTTTTACGTGGGGTAACTCGGCATCTACGGGTAGAGACTGGAGTAGGACTGGCACTGATCTCTTCCTGTCGGGCACATGTTTAGTTAGTCCCAACGCCGGGCTCAAATACCAAGGAGCCGATCCTCCTTTCTTCCGATGGACGAGAGGAGCTGTGCCAACTCGGTTATGCAGGGCAGGGCAGCAGCCCGCCCAATCATGAGGAAAGCGGAAGAACCGTGCAACGCGTGGCGCTCGAGCTATTCGGCATGGACGATTGGATGCGCAACCCTTCCCCGCAGCAGAGGATCAGTAGCGCCAATTGTTCTCCAGCAATTTCCACAAATAGGTGTTGCGCAGAGTTTCTCATTATTGCGAAAGCTGCGAATTAGATGACCCGAGTGGCTGACAAGAAAGCTGAATTAACGAGAGACGAGGCCAAAGAAAGTCCCGCAAACCAGCCCCCCTGTTCGTAAGGCGGTGGTGACTTGTGCCCTGCGGCCAGAAACATACTTCTGGGTCACAGGTCGTAGAACTACGAAGCTGTTTATTCTTGCCTCAGAATCACTTTTAATCGCATTGGATACCTATTGACTAGGTCTGTCCTGTTCGGAGTAGACATATTCGGAAAACCGGACCGATCAAGCAATTGTTGTTTCTCCATGGGGCACGATCATTTTCCTATCGAATTTCATTCAGGCCAGGTCTTTCCTAGCGGCCCCTGTGACGGAGGGCTTCGGGTTGAAACACACCGAATGGGCGTCCATCGGTCCAATTTCTGGCCCAAGAGCGACGCTCTTGTTGCTCAACGAGATCTTAGCTCGCCGTGGCGCTGACCTCGGGTGAAAATATGCGTTTGGGGTCTCTTCGACCAGGGACTTTTGACTTGCTCCCTTGTTTAAGAGGAGAGCCCCTGGCCTTCAAGTCTGCGAGCTATAATGTACTGATTCGTATCTCATTCTCCCCAAACACATATTTGTATGGTCCATGACTTAATTTATGCTTCAGTATAGCAGTATAGCTTCAATGCAGAGATCGGCTTCTCCTATCCAGCTCTTCGGTGAGCGGCCAGCGAGAACCCGTCGCGCTTGTGATAGATGCAATATGTCCCGCACTCGCTGCAACGGTGGATTACTATGGTACGCACTGGATGCAGAAATAGAGCTCACTGTGACGAGGTTCTGACATGTTGATGCGATTCATTGTACAGTGATCGATGCCGGAGTACGTATGACCATTTTCGTCCTATTTCACTTGGTGGTCCTCATACACTGACTTGACTAGGGCACGGTTTGGCATGCAGATATGAGCGAGCAGCAAAGAAACGGGGGCCCAAACCAAGGTCTGTCCGGCAGTTGTCCCGCCAAGCGACTTTCCTTCCCGCGATCACGCACACACAGAACCCCTTTCTCTCTCAGGACCGGACGACCTCTGAGCATGATGACGACGTTTGTCTTCCCCTGACGAGTGTTAGAACGCCAGAATCAGGCAGTGACGGCTTGTCTGCGAACACGCCACTCACGAACACGCCAAGTAAATACAGTGATATGAATATATTTGATCTCAGCGCCCAGTTTACTCGGGCGGCCTCTAAAAGTGACACAGTTCGGACATATGCCAGTGTTTCGGACCCTGAACTAGTCCAATTCGGGTGGTCATTTGTGGCTGAAGGTGAAACCAAAGCCTCCGAGCCGACCGGATACCGATATCCATGCTTAAATCCTCTCCTGCCATTCTTGAAGGATATACTAAGCATTCGAGATGCTTGCGACCTACTGGATGGGTTCTATGCGGACAAAGATGGTACTAGTGTGGTACTTAGGTCGCCATATATTCTGTCCTCGGTCATTCGACAAAAATCTTTGCTAAGTGCTGTCAGCCCGCGGCCGGTGTCTCCAGCACTCCTGGTTATTATTCTCTGGTGTATGTCGCACACTGCAAGCCTTAGAGCTTTTCAAGACCCTGGTATACGTGCCTGGGTAATCCAGCGACTCTACCTTCTGCTATTAAAGCTTTTGCGGGCAAGGGTTAGCCACGACCAACGTGGTGTTCTAGGTAAATCTTGAGGTTTCAAGGCCATTAATCCCCCAAGCTTACAGCAGTCCATGCAGGCTGACACTAACAGGCAACCGGCTGTCAGATGCCAAAGAATTCAGTATGCCATCCATTGATCGGAAATGCTCACTTTCGTCTTGTGGTAGACCGGCACCGAACGTGGATGATGTGCTGAGCTTTGTCCTTTTGGCGTGCGTCGCAGGGCAGGACTCCAAAAAGGAGTGCATGAAGTGGTGGAAGAAGGCTGTACTTCTTACAAAAAAACTTGGCCTTAACTCAGAAGAACGAATCATGGAGCATACATCATCACAGCGCAGTCTACTGGCGGCTCGAGAAGATCAAGAGGAATGTCGAAGAACCTTCTGGCTGGTGTACGCACTGGATAGACACCTAGCCCTTCGTTTTAATGAGCCATTGCACATCCATGACTCTGACTGTCAAGTCCTGATTCCGTTGCCAGAATGGGTTTGGCAGAATTTTGACACCATTCCAGTGGAAGGGCTGCCTTACAGGCTCTATGGTCCGCCCATGCACATTTTAGGCGCTGGGTTTTTCGAATCCTTCCTTCCCCTTATGGCAACATTGGGCTGTATTATCAATCTTCGCTTAGGACGAAGTTTCGACAAGGTACATCTAGCCACATGCATCAAAAAGGCGCTCAGCCGCCATGAAGAAAACCTCGAGAACTTGCGCCTCGCACAGAATCCTGACGCGACGATAATCTCCGCCAGGTCGCCTCATGTTTCGTCAGTCTTACCATTACTGTGTGGTACTTTCAGCAACCTCTCACAACCGATATTCCCACGTGAGGATAGGATGGACTTGGTGATCGTGTATTGCGAGTGCATAGTTCATGTTCTGCACGTTCTTCTTTACAGGACATGGGATGCAACTGCAATGTGGACCGCACAGGATTACGGTAGCTGGACCACGTCGTCTGAAGAGCTCGCATGCGCAGCACGCTCCATGGCAGCAGCGGAATCCGTCGCACAGATTTTGGAATTGGACAAGGACCTATTATTTCTGCCATTTATGGTCCCCATATATCTCTTCCACGGGAGCTTGAGCTTTCTAACGCTCAGTGATCCCAGAGTCCTAAATCCCTCCGAGCGAGAGGCCTGTGAGGTTATGATCCGTGCGCATGAGGTGTCATTGATGACATTCAAAACATCTTTTCAGGTAAGGATCATCTGGGAGCGAGTGTCACTGCACAGACTTTCGCTAACAGAAAGTACCTAGCATGGTCTATGTCGAGAGCTTCGGTCCATGCTTTACAGCGCTCAAAACGAGGCACTGCTAGATGATTCTGACTTGGAAACGCTGATGTCATGAAGAGGCGCTGCAAGTACCGACGGTCGAGTAAAAGTAGGGCTAGTACGGTCCTTAAGTAATTTCTGCCACCTGGCGGTCCGGTCTTTCCAACTATACAATATGTATTTTATACACCCAAGCCATTTCGTCGTCTACCATTTTTGCTACCCCGTTGTTCAACGGACGAAGGTCGATCGATAACACGGTTGATGAGGTTGGGCTGAGAGGGCCAAAAGCGATGTACGTAGTGACTGCTTGATAGGACACGGACGGCTGTTATGCCCTACAGCCTAGCTAACACAAATGCAAAAATGCAGACCGGATAGCGCTCCCAGGCCATCCGCATATTCATTCAGAACAACTGTCAAATTAAGCAACATAAGCTATATACGTCTAATTGCTGCTACCTAGACAGCCACCAGCTGAATCTCAGCAGATCCCAAGCCATCACTCTCGACTTTCACGGTGATTTTCCCCACATTGCTAGGCAGCGAAGAGATGATACCGAGACATAGGCCATTGAAAGCCTTTCGCTCGGGGGATTTGAATGAGGTGTAGTCTGCAGGGAACCCATTATCAGTTGCCAACAGCTTCCCAGGGCCAGAGATCGAGAATTTGATCTTGTTATCTGCGTTCGGTACTCTCTGCCCACTGCTATCCACGATTTCAACGCTGAGAAAAGACAAGTCCTCGCCATCAGACAAGATGCGTGAGCGATCCGCAGATAGCCGAAGAGACGTTGCGTTGCTGGTGGTCCGGACAGTGTCTTCCGCCCACTGCTTCCCTTCCTTGTACGTCATCACACGAACCTCACCAGGCTCATAGGTAACATTATCCCACCTAAACCGATACTCAAATTCTTGCCGCTTTAACCGTCCTTGGGAGTCACCATTAATGAAAAGCTCTGCTTCATCACCAGACGTGAAGACATGCACTGGGGTAACTTTTCCCCTCCGGTCCGGCCAGTTCCAGTGAGGGACAATGTGTGCCATGGGCAGGTCGGGTCGCCAGCGTGCCTGATAAAGCCAGAAACGCTCCTTCTTAAATCCTGCAAGATCAATAATGCCCCAATACCCGCTGCGGCATGACCGACACCAGTATGGCTCGCCAATGTAATCCCACCCGGTCCAGACAAATCCTCCTGCGACGAATTTGTTTTGGTCCTGGGTGAGAAACACTCGATCTGCAGAAGAACCTGCCTCGGCAGTATAGAGCTCATATGCACTCACAGCAGATGTTTGAGCATCACCACCAGAGGTATTGTTAACGGGGGCACTATTGTAAGGAGTGACTGGGAAAACAAAACTGCCCCGCAGGCTAAGAGACGATGCGACCTCACTTCCAAGAATCAATTTGTCGGGATAGGCTTGATGGAAGGGGCCGTATTGGGGTGTCTTCCTGGTCCCCGATGTCAGGTGCGTATATGCAGGACCGTATCGCATGCCTTCGCCCTGGTAATTAAGGCTGATCATGTCGGCTGTGGAGGCAAGCTCTGAAGCCGGCGCCGCTTTGTCCATGGAAAATGTACCAGGGCGTGTAGTGTCTTCCTGATGCACAATAGCTCGCAGTGCGTAGGAGATGTCGCTACCCGCGTCGTCGTCCGTCTGTTCGATGACCTCGTTCCCATAACTCCACGCAAAGACCGAGGGGTGATTGCGGTCGCGTCGGATAAGCGCCCTTAAGTCTGGCTCATGCCAGTCATTAAATAGCAAATGATAGTCAAAATCTCTTTTGCCCTCTTTCCAGCAGTCGAAGATCTCGTTGATAACCAGGAACCCCATTTGATCGCAAAGGTCTAACAATTCTGGAGCTGGCGGGTTGTGTGCCATCCGAATCGCGTTTGCGCCGAGCTCCTGCAGCATCTCTAATTGACGCGTAGCTGCACGCTTATTAAAAGCTGCACCTAAGGCGCCCAGGTCATGATGCTGATTCACCCCCTGAATACGGATAGGCTGGTTATTCACAAGAAGGCCGTTGTTAGGATCGTACGTAAGCGACCGTACACCAAACCGGGTCTCGTATGAATCCAATAGCGACTTTCCTTGCCAGATCTGGGTAACCGCGAGATACATACGAGGGGACTGAGAGGGAGGAGGGCCCCATAAGCGAGGGTTTCTAATTCGGACAGAACCGTTGACTTGGGCGGTCTCACTGCTGCCAATAGTGATTGTCTGCCGGGGAAAGCTTGCCACGCGTCGTCCTTGCTGACCAGTTTCAGATTCGAGTTCGTAGACGTGGGTTGCAACAGTGACGTCTACACTATCGTCTTTCTGGTTGTCGACTTGGACAGATAGATCAACAGTCGCTGTCCGTTTTGACACTTCCTTTGTGGTAACAACAGTACCCCACCGCTTAACATGTGTTTTATCAACCTTTGTGAGCCAGGCATTTCGGTAAAGGCCAGCACCAGTATACCAGCGCTCAGATGCGCCTCGGGGATTCTCCACCCGCACGGCAAGGTAGTTGTCACCGGTGTTTAGATACTTTGTGATGTCAAGGCGAAAGGATGTATACCCAAAGGCCCAACCGCCAACTAGTTGCTCGTTAACCCAGATCATGGGGTACGACATTGCACCGTCGAATTCTAGGAATATTGTCTTTTTTCCAAGATCCTCTGCAGTTACTTGCAAGGTTCGACGGTAGTAGCCCACCCCGTGCACTGGAAGCTGGCCCATGGAGCGAGGGATGATATCGTCGTCATCAAGAAAGCCGAGTTCAATGGCCCAGTCGTGGGGGACGGTGACGTTGGCCCAGTCCGTATCATCGTAAGCCTTCTTCACGTAGTCGATATCGATATCTGGTTGTTCCGAGGGCCACTCATGATGATCATCCCGGTTGATGATGAACTCGTTTGCAGTAGGGAGAATCCAGTCCTTCACGATGGACAAGCCATCGTCATCGGCATCTGAACGTCGCTCATAGACAATCTTGTCCGGTATTTTTTCAGAGCGCCAGAATTTCCAATTATCATGGAGTCTAACGCGAGTGTCCGAGGAGCCGTCATAAGTGTTGGTCACTCCCGCTGCTTCAGCACACCTTGCAGACAAGGGAAAAATTGCGATACTAAAGACGGACCAGGCGCCGAGTATCTCAGACAGAGTGAGCATCTTCAAAAAATTCAGGTGATTTGTTTGAACTATCCACACTCAACTCTGGTCTATTTATTTCTCCTTTGTAGGGAGTTACCTTTTCTACTCGGGTGAATGCAAGGCGAGGGTTGCGACCACAATATGCGCGGCAGGGTAAATGCACAATTCGTCCATTGATTGTCTCGGATTCTGTGACCTGGCAGCGTCAGAAGTCAACCATCCGTTCGAGCATTTCGGCAACACCTAGGGCAGAGAAGCTGTCTGCATGTCTCCTCATGTGTAAATGGCACAACAAAGGGCTGTGGTTTATCCACCATTCAACCTTGTTCTCCATTGAAGGTTCGGTAAAACAGCATACCTCGGTTGACTGCGGTGAAATTGCCATTGGGTCTCCTGGCAGTTTGATGAGCAGTTCACGGCTGAATTAAACTACCACTTCTGCAGATCTTAATATAACACTAGGTCAGGCGGGGGTACCTTGATAAACCAAGGAACCATGATGAGAACCTAGTTGGTCATGTCTGCAACGGCGTAATTTCGGGCTCGGATCCTAGGCGCACTCTGGGTCGGAAAGAATGAAAGGTTGAATTATGCGTTTCTCGTATTCAGGAACCTCATGAATAGCTCAAAATATACATTATCGGGGGAACGCTCGGCGAGATCGGCTAAACTAGTGTTAGCATGCGCCCGTGCCATCTGCCAATCCCGATAATAGAGAATCGGACGGATAACGGCGATCGAGACCTGAATCAGGCGTGAAGCAACACTTGGATCTGTACCCCATGCAACGTTATGCACCTCGGGCGGATAGATTTTTTCCATCAATTGGAAGGGACAAATCTCCAATTGGTATATCATCGTTGAGGGGATGGGCGAAAATTGAACAGAGCATCTCCTTGCTTCGGGTTATAAAATTGAAAAGACGTACGGGGTTTATGGTGACTCAAAGCTCACACCAAATTGCCTTCACAATAAGCCCTCAATGATGCCTATACTGGCACTTTTCACGCGCCTCTTAGCCGCTGTCTCTGTGGCTGCTGCCTTGGTGGCCCAGCCGGCCTTGTATGCCCTTCAAATCGACTCCGAGTCGCCCTATTCCTTTACCATTACAGATGACAAAAATCAAAGTGTTGTCTCCAACATCGGCATTCTGGCGGGCAGTAACAACGACAGCATGAGTGCCGTGTCTAGAGACTCCGATGAAACGAGTGTCCATTTTGGCTTCATAACGCCGACGATAGTCCGTGTGAACATCACGAGCTCACTGGGGTTCACCGGAGCCCAGTTCTCTACAGCTGAGGATGCGCTGCACTATGGTGTCTGGGCACACCCGTTCAACGAATCAATTGCCAACTCCAACGTTTCGTTTGATCTTAAAGGCATGCAGGGAAACGATGGGATCAACTATGCCAGTGTACGATCGCCGTTCTTCGTATCCAGTGCAGGCTATGCTGTGTACACGGATACAGAGGCTATGGGTTCGTATTCGTTCTCCAGCGTCAGCCACAACAACGAAGTCCAATTTGGCTTTAATGCGACGGAAATCGTCTACTATATTCTTTTGCCGGAATTCAAAGGCGACCTTAAGAGCCTTTTGACGCAATATGGAAGACTGTCGGATAGATCACCATTGTGGTCGCCCAAAGCGTACGGGCCTATGTTTTGGCACAACGATTTTCAACGAAAGTCTGGATTCCCTAATGGTGTGAACAATTCTCAGGAATTTGTTGAGGATGTGGTGAATAAGTTGGCACAGCATCGAATCCGGGCCAGTGCTGTTATGGTTGATCGGCCGTGAGTAACCCCGTCTTCTGTTGATTAAAGTGGCCATTTTCCAACACTAACATCCGCCGCAAACTGTAGTTATGGTACCGGCACCGAAGGGTGGGGAAATTTTGACTTTGACAAGGAGTATTGGCCAGATATTCGTGCGTTGGTCGAACGTGTCGCGCAGAAAGGACTCGATTTCCAGGTTTGCTCCCAACCCCCTGACCATTGAATCATATATCCGATATACTTCGAATTATCCTGACCGGTCGACACAAAGGTATGGGTTGCCAACAGGGCTGTCCCTGGATCTCAGCTCTATAACCACTCAGAATCGCGGGGTTGGCTGTTGGAACCGGCTTCCGAAGAGCAGCTCGGGCAGGCGCTGAACCTCTCAAACACAGAGGCTTACGAGTATTTTGGGGCAGAAATTGACTGGCTGCCCAACCTTGGGGTCAAGGGTTACAAGATTGACAGGGGCGACGAGGACGAAATGCCAGTCTGGGAACAAAACACCCAAAGTTACCTGTTCCACAAGCTGCTGTACGAAGGCCAAGCAAAGCAATGGGGGGCCGCGTCAGCAGATAATCGCCGCCCAGCGGGTTTCTACAACTTCGCGAGAAATGCGAATGATCGATCGCGCAAGTATACTGGTGTCTGGGGTGGGGACCCTGCCAGTAGCATAGATGGCCTTCTACAGAGTATCAGGAATGGCATCCGGTCTGGACTCCTTGGCTTCCCGATCTGGGGCAGCGACTGCGGGGGTTACACGCGGAAAGTTGGAAGAAATCAGCCAACTGAGAAGCTCTGGGCTCGCTGGATGTGGTTCTCGGCTTTCAGCCCAGTCTACGAAGTCATGCTTTACGAGGGTAGTATCCCATGGCATGACTACTCGGATGATCTGGTATCTGTCTTACGCGATACCGCGCAGCTCCATCACGAGTTAATACCGTTTATTCAGAGCTACATGTATCAGGCAACAATGAATAGTCTCCCGCTAATAAGGGCACTATTTCTCGAGGCCTCGCAAGACGACGACAGTGTTTGGGAGGCTGATGAGTCCTACTTTTTTGGCGAGGAGTTCTTAGTGGCGCCCATCACAAGGGACGACGGTGAAAAGGGAGTTTACTTCCCAAAGGGACGAAGATATCTCGAGTATCTTAACAAGCAGGATGTTTATGATGGTGGAAGCTCGCAGACGTTCAATATGGGAATCAACGCTGTCCCGGTATTTGTGCGCGAGGGATCCATTATACCAAGGGGTGACATATACCGGAACAACAGGCAGTGGGAGGATGAGACCAACAAAGACGACGAGTGGCGCCCCTGGCTGAATATCGAGGCTTACCCGAGCTACGGTGTCAAGTCTAGCAAATTCATATACTTCGACGAAGCCTATGGTCGCGCAGTGGAGATCAAAATGGAGACTAACAACTCTGGAAAAACGATTTGTGTTTCTTACGGCCGCATGAGCGCTCCAGGGAAGCTCGTCTTCTATCTGAAGGGAGGACCTAAAGGCTTTGATCTCTCACGCCGAGGAGGGAACAAGTGTCTGCGGAATGTTGAAACTTTGTTTGATTAGGACTTGTTTTGGGGTTGAGATGCCGGATCTGTAACGGGAGGGGATGAGGATGATATGCAGCCGTCCCTCTTGAAGCCAAAGATATCATTAGTAAATTGCAGTGGGTAATGTTGTCACTGGGTGCTGATTAAAGAAAAAGAAATCAAGTATTTAGTAAATATCAGGCCACATTCTTCGCTTTCTGACCAAAACGCTTGCAGGACTGTCAAACATGCAAACGATCTTGTTCTTGATTAAGTACGAAGCAGGTGGTGTCGGGATAGTCCCGAGTTAACCGCAGACACAAGACTGAGAACTCTTGGATAATGTCTCTGGTATGGTACATATGTTTATTACATTCTTCGTGATATTGAGGCTGTATAGTGGCGAGACTTGTGAGAATGGTTCCTATTTACATGCATTAAATCAGCAGACCGAGTAATAGATATTATTACAAAAATATCCAGTATACGTGTAAGGAGCTGAGTGAGAAGTGCTATGGACCTAGTGCATTTAGATCTAGGGGCTTGCTTGATCAAAACTACATCGCTCGGCGAGTAATAAACTTCCATCCCGGGACCCAAGCCTCCTTCTGAACGAGAATTCATCACGATGAACCCACGTCAAGAAAGCTCCTGTACCCTGTTTCGATTACTGGCCAGTAAAAGGGCCAAGAGCCTCCCATACTTTGCATCCGTCAAACTGCTCGTAGGGCACACTCTCCATCTTGTTGCTCTCCAACGGCATCTGCAGCAGGAGTCTCCGGCCGCCCTTTATTCCATAAGTTTTGAACCGCGGCGCTAGACCATTCCGGTATCTGTTAGGATCCAGTGACCTGATAAAACTAATATAGTAGCTCATCACCACCGATACAAGGTCCGCATTCACAGTGCCTAGAGTCGTGTCTGCCATACCGCCATATTCGACCCCGAAGACAGCAGGTATATCCGCGCCATGAGTGACGCCAAAATTCTTTGCTGTACTTGCAGGTTCAAGAAGGTTATATCGATAGTTCCAGCTCTTTGATGAACCGACGTAGTATGACACCGTGTGCGAGATTAGAAGCCCCCCGCAGGCCAACGATCCGTTGCCGAATGCTGCAGAAGCCTGACCAAAGTACCGGTTACGCCCTGCTCGCTGATACAGGCCAAATGTGGCGTCTATCTCAGTTAAATTCCCCCCTGTCAGGCGTGGAAAATTGGCTCTGAGGTACTCGTTTACAGAGGACTGGTATTTGGCGTTCGGCACGAATGTATCACCCTCATTCGTTACCCCACCGACAAGCGTTGGTACCCTAACGAACTTCCCTGATTTGAACTGCTGAAACATCGACGCTTGGACAAAGTCACCGTCAACTATAGGTAGGAACGAGTAGTTTGGCTTTTCTGTAACGCCAGGGTACGGAATTACCGTGTTCCCCTTCTGAAGAGCGCTGAGGTCGGCTTCTCGAAGACACGCCAGCTCGTCTGACTCGCCGAAACAGCCTGTCTTGTTGACTAAGTAGCCAAATTGGAACTCGGATTCTTCGATCGTGCGCATCGTGGGGAAAAAAGGAGACTCGAGCACTGCTCCGATAAATAAGTCATCGTTTCGTCCACCGTACGAGGTGAGGTGGTGAGCAACAGATCCTCCGCCTGCAGACATGCCATGTATAACAATATGTTCCGAGTCTCCACCAAACTGAGGGAAGTCAATACGTTTGCGGAGGGTTATAAAGTCGCCAGACTCACAAGATGGATATTTTTTTTGACCCATACCAATGCTTTCCGCTGGTCAAGCAATCCTACATTCAAGGCCCCATTTTCTCGGATTTTGGCGCTGGCGAGGAAGCCCAGGGCACCAACACGGTAGTTGAAATTGACAAAGACAACATTGTGCCCTGATTCCTCAATGACTTTGGTCCCGTTGTAGTTTGCATTGCTGTTTGTGCCATAGCCACCACCCTGAATAAATACCCAGACAGGCAGTCGCTGCGAAGTTGCGGTCGCGTTGGTAGGGGCAAAGACGTTGACATACAAACAATCCTCACTGTAGCTGCTACTTGCGGCGTTTTGCCCGACGCCTATGCATATGGGTTTGAACTGTTGTTGGCCATTATTAGCAACGAATCGAGAACAGGTTATTTTAGACGTACACTCTGAGCTTGAACAATATCCTCTGAACCGTCACTGTCAGGGTCCTGGGGCGCTCGCCATCGAAGATCACCGGTAGGTGCTTGCGCGAAACGCATGCCGAGGAACTCACTCACTCCCGCGGAATTGGTCAGGCCTGCGTATTTCGCATATCCCAGATCCACGATCGGCGAGGCAAGCGTTAATGTGGTCCATAGAAGCCAAGCGGTCCATGCTAACAAAGACATTGTAATCTGATCGACGGTAAGCTGGTAACAACCTGTTGAGAAAGAGGGGAAGAGAAGAATGATGTTTGTGCGGAACGTTGAGCAATTTACGTCGGGGTATTTGTAAAAAATATTGATGTAAATTGTCTCCTAACTCAGGCGATATATAAACTTGCGCTATGGAATTTTATCCCCGAGATCCTGACTTTTGGGGCATAGGAACACCCTCCACGTTCCGTTATCCCGGGCGTGGCCTCGGACTGGGGTAGCTTCTGAAATGGGGATAATCAAGCTTGCTAGGGCCATGCCCAACGTTACTCCCGGGCTAGTGACAGCAGAGGAATCACAGAAGAAAGCAAGGTGAGGCTTCAGGCGTGGAGTAGAACACTCTAGGGTACTATTAGTGTTACTCTAGCCTTGGAAAAGGTCAAAGCCTTTGGGGCGGGCCCACTGGAAGCTGGCAGTCACATGCTACTAAACAGTCAGCATGCTATAAAGTGCGATGTATCTCATGGGTCCTGAAGTGACACAACTAACCAAGAATGAATGACCAGAATACAGATCTGCTCTAGCCCCACACTCGGCCGAAGGGAGAGACATTCATGTCCTTGATCGGGCAATTATGTCGCGAGACATGTTAGTCTCCAACTAGTGAAGCGTGTGACCACAATCAGAAGTCTCCAACAGACGCGTGTTTAATGTCTTAGAATTTCCTAATGGCTAATGCACCCTATAATATGCAAAAGAGCATGCGGGGACTTGCGCGGGGTAGTGCTTGCTTCGTACTACTTACATGGCGCTAATATAGACTTCTATTGTCCGTCACTATAGTACACAAACTTTCTTGTCCTCATTTGGGACTACTCCGTGAAATCAGCCGATTTTTAAGATGGAGGCTGGTTCTCTGCAAATAGATTACCTGAGTGCGAGGAGTATGTATCGGCTAATCGGGTTTATTTGTGTGGGGCGGCGACCAAATAGGAGCCATGCGGAGAAGCAGGTTAAGAAAGCTTCCATGATTCTAGGGAGGCCTGATCACCCACAAAGGGCCTGCAACATGCTGATTTCGAGATTACTATTTTCCACATGTAGATGATATATAGCCATAGGCCATGCTCGCTTAGAGAGGAAGAGATCAGTCATACAATAACGAATATTCAAGCCACGAACACTTTTATTATCTCCATTATGAGATTCACCTCCTTCCTTCGTTTTACAACTTTGCTGCTGGGCACTGAAGTTGCGGTACTTGCAGCACCTGCTGAGAACACTGAGAAAAGGGACTTTGCCTTCTCTGAGCTTCATAAGCTCGCGCTATTGTGAAGCCCCCTCCTGGTCCAACATTCATCTAAAAGATGAGAATGTTGCCGGCTTAGAAGCTAACAATTCATTAGTGGCGACTCATGGACGGATATGCGTTTTGACGTCGCCGGCACTCAGCCGTCGGACAGGAATCCGTTTGGAAATATAGGAAAAACTAGTTCCAAGGGGAAAATGTGGCCTGAGTATCTTGCGACAAAGTACAATTCTTCCCTCGTACTAGGATACAACCTGGCGCTCAGTGGTGCTGTCGTCGATGTGGATATCATCCCCACAGCGCCCCATGACGTTGATTATCAGGTTCATGAAAAGTTCGAGCCATATTCAAACCAGACCAACTTCTTCCCGAAAAAGACGTCACTGTTTACCATGTGGGTTGGTAACAATGACATTAATCGGTCTTTTAACGGCACCGATCCTACTATCAATGTCAAGATTATCGCGAGATACGAGGAACTGGTCCGTCACCTCTATGACATCGGTGCTAGGAACTTTCTCTTTCTCAGTGTCCCACCCATGTGGCGGTTTCCCAGTAACACTGAAAATCCCGACGTGGACCTTCCTAAGCTACAGAGAGCCGTTGAAGATTACAATAGGAGACTCAAGCGCATGGCCAGGGAAATTGACCACAACCTTCCTTACTCCACAGTGTACTACTACGATATCCCGCCTCTATTGAACGCCATCATCGATGATCCCAGTCAGTTTGCAGAAACCGCTGTCTACAAGAATACCACGGGATGGTGCAGTGCCTACAACGCGTAAGTCTTTCCCGTTCGCCATTCGCTGCTTCTATTCCTTGCCTCGATGATAGCCTCTTGAATATAGCCAGAAACTAAACAGACATAATTTGTGATTCTAGGAACATCCCACGGCCAGATTATAAATCTAGCAAGTGCGATTATTCGGCAATTCAGTATCTCTTCATCGATGGGGGACATCCCACGCAGCCTTTCCACGATCTGCTAGCGAGGGAACTCTCAGTCATGCTGGCGAACCGGAGTTCACTAAGGTAGTATTAAGCGAAACAGGGCTTTGCTTAGTCAAGGATAATCTTTTGTTGGTATTCGTACCTGCACCAAATCTGTGAATGCTGCAGGTGGCTATCATGATAGGGGAAAGCCATTGCTTTACGGCTCTCTGGGCACCAGGACCAAGTACGACGCTGGGCTATTGTTGGATTAACTTGGTTCTCATCCTTATAAAATCCATAAAGTAATGCTAGTACGAATGCCTCTCAAACTTGCTCAACCAATGCCCTCGTATGTATAGTTACGAGCACGATATCCCAATAGCCTAGGAGAGGAATCCTGTAGATCGGATCGTAAGATGATTCCCAACTCAAATTCTTGCAAGAATTCTAGGCCGCATGAAGATGCATTCCCTCACACCAGTCACCTCCAGAGCTTCGGCGTAACCTAGAGATTAACGATAATGCTAGCGAAGAAGAGGATACACTTTCTAAGGTAGAGACCATTGCCGTCTCTAATGCTAATCTTTCCCTTCAGGAGATTACTTAGATTATTGCTATTACTAAAAGCAATAGTAGGAGGGATAAAGATAAGGGAGAAAACCATGGGGCTAACTAGGTTTTTATTAATCCTTGCTTGTCTAATACATCTAAACGAAGAATAACAGAGTGTAGGGAACTAGACCCAGGTTCTTAACTAACTAGTAAATACAATGATCACCTGCCATTCTTAGGTTAGGGTTAAAAACAAGGAAATAGCGCGGTGTTCCATGGACCAGGCAGATGGTAATATTAGTTTACCTCCAGGTTCTGCACCTAAGCTTATATTGGATTTACGAAAGAAAGAAACTACTTGTTAGACTACAAGGCCTTTACCACACCTCGGGGTTTATTCGCGAAACATTACTAATAAGACTTGTTATAAAGTAGTAAGTTCTAAAATTAACCTCTGCTAGACCTAGAGCTCTTGTATTAGGTAAGTTCTATATCTACTAACCTATAGTCATAGCTTAATAATTCCTCTACTCTATGTTACTAATATTAGTAATGTACTAATGGCAAACACATGCAAGTAATAATTAGACCTAACACAAACTCTAGTAGCCTTGGTTCCTGTATCTTTTATATTCATGGAGTCCTGCTGTCGGCCGGAGCCCGTTGCTCTGGACCTTGCTCAAGCATTCCTCTTGTAAGCGGAGAGGTCGGATCGGTGGCGGACGCCAGTTGGTCCTCACCCGCGGCAAGGTCCTAGCAAGTAATAAGATGTCAAGCTACAAAGGATGTATAAAAGAGGAAGGAGAAGCTATATACTAATTAATTTAGAAATAAATTACTAGGGATTAGGAAGACTAGTAATTCTCTATAGGTCTTTTATATATAGTAATTCTAAGAGAGTCCTCTAGGATTTAGCCTAAAGGGGTTTTACCTAAATAGGTTAGATCCTGAGTAGGGATTATATAACCTTCTATTAGGCTACCTAAGATATATGCTTATATAGCCTCCTATTAGGGCTATCTAAGGTACCTACTATAATAGCTATCCTCTCTTATAATAATAATCTATCCTAGATTATACTAAATCTAAAATAAAATAATATAAAGGAGATAGCTATTTAAAATAATAATAATAAAATAATAAGAATAGTAGGAGTATAATATTAATAAAGACTTTAAAATAATAATAAAGAGGTTTAATTATAAAGAAGAATACTTTTAGTCTAGTAATAGTAACTTAGTAATTATCTTTTAAAAAAAATCTATTTTATAGTTATAAAATCTTTACTAATATTATTACTATTATCTTTTCTCTCTATAATATATATAAAGAGCTACTTTATATTACTATATTATTAGAATACTAATAATAGTTTATTAGATTCTACTAATACTTCTAGAATAGCTAAAAGAAAGGTCTCTAGTATAGTACTAGTATTATAAAATATAAAGAAGTAATAACTTACTTAGTAAGCTTAAAATATAAGTCTTAGTTAGCTTACTTTTATATCTCTATTAATATACTAATAATTATAATAAGGCTTTATCTCTTTCTTCTTCTTCTTAGGTTTTTATATTTATTTTTACTCTTATTACTAGGCTAGTTCTAGTCTTTATAAGTAAATCTTCTTACTTAGAATTCTACTAGTTCTCTAGTAGTATATTAATAATATTAATAAGGCCTTTAGAGCTTTAGCTTTATTTTTATTCTCTCTCTCTCTAGCTCTTAAGCTATCTCTCTTAATAAAGTTAGCTACTAGTATTATAAGTCTCTTCTTAATTAGCTTTTATTTAGAATCTTATTACTAAGGCTTTAAAGCTCTACTTATACTACTATTATATAAAAAAAGATTTAAGTAAAAGACTTAAATAATATAATTATACCTAGCTCTACTTATATAAAAAAGCTATATAAGAAGTACTAGTAAAGAAAAAAGAGCTACTTATAACTAGTAATTAATATTTACTTAAAAATTAATAAATTAGAAGATTAGATATTTATAATAATATTATTAAAATTTATAAGGTATTTAGTAAGCTCTTAAAGAAGAAAAAGAATAAGTAAACTATTACTAAGAATATAAAATAAATAATAAATAATAATTAATATTATCTTCTTCTCTTAATTCTTAATAAGTTAAAAGATTAGATACTTAAGAAACCTCTAGTCCTTAAAAAGACTAAAAATTAAAAGATATTTTAAGTAGAAGAGTATTAATATATTAGTATATCTAGATTAGTCTTTAAGTCTATTTTCTTATATTTAAGTTTTTAAAAATAAAAAGATTCCTTTTATATATATTCTAGTAGTATTATAAGTTATAAAATAAATAAAAATAATCTTATTAAACCTCTAAATTCTATAGATAAATAGGAAAGAATTATATTAGTATTTTATTATTAATTAAGCTAAAAATCTTATAGAATAAAAAGATTATAATTATTAAAAAGAGTACTAGGATTATATTATAATAAGTCTAATTTAATTATAATAGTTATTAATAGCTTTCTTTATATTAATAATTTTTTTATTAGCTTCTAGAAGTTCTTACAGATAGGCTAGTTCTTTTATTTAATAAAATATTATAGTTTTTAATAATAAAAGTAATATATAAAAATCTTCTTTATTTTTTATTCTTTTTTATTATTTATAATAATTAACTAAGAGTCTAGTATAAAGATACTAGAGTACTAAGTATACTTCTTTAATAAGAAGATCTAAAAAATAAAGTAAATATATTTATAAAACTTAAGTAATTATAATAAATAAGCTTACTTATTAATAATATTTTTAATCTTAAAAGATTTTTTATATTTTTAATTAAGTTTCTTACTAGATTATAGGATTATATATTTTTTATTAAAAGTAAAATCTTCTTACTTACTAAGAAGTATTTATTATAATAATATTTATTATAGCTTATTACCTAATATATAATAATAATCTAAAGGCTCTTCTTTAGCTAAATATAGATTTAAGTAATTCCTTTAAGATAATCTTTAATAATAATATAAGTAATTAATTTTAATAAGTCTTTAATATCTAGTAATTCTAGATTAAGTTCTTACTAGACTATTAATAGTAAATAGCTTATAAAAGTATACTTTATATTATTATAAGTAAATTTAATAATTATTAATTAGTTAGCCTAGTTACTTTATTAAAAATTTATAAATTTATAAATATATATAGATATATCTCTAGTATTTAGTTCTAGTATTTAGTCTACTTATTTATTTATAAATAGAATATAATACTTAGTTAGCCTCTAATATAAAGTTCCTAGTAGAACTAAGTCTAGTATATACTTATAAAAAATAAATCTTAATTAGTAATAATACTTTAGAAGATATTTATTTTAAAAATAATTTCTTAAAGAAATAAATTAATAAGATTTTTAATATTTATTTTAGAGATTATAACCAAGATATTTAGCTACTTTAGTATAGTAATTAATAATAACTAATATTATACTATATATAGACTCTTATTAGATTAATAATAATACCTTAGTAATAAAATCTAGTATTAGGTCCTACTAAGCTTCTTTAGAGACTAGTAGAGATACTAGCTTCTTTTAAGATAGCTAATAAAATATCTTTATCTTTTAATAGATTAAATAACTCTTAATATATTCCTTTATATTGTTACGGAAGGTTGACCTCTCAAGCCTTCCTAAACCTTGGGATTGCCTTGACCTAAGCCCTAATAATGGATTGACTTACTCAGGTATGCTCAACGTCCAACTAGTATGAAGACTAGTCACGGTTAGGGTGGCTAAGGTGTAATAAAGGCAAGGCTAGCCTTCACTATGTATAATGAAGCCTGTTAAGAAGTACTAGATAAAGTATTATCACAAGAATCTTGAATTAGAATGATCTAAAGGTAGTACTTAGAATAATAATAGTATTAATCACGAAGAATAAGTAAGACTAGATATAGGTAGTAATAAGTATCAGAAGATAGATGCCTAAGGCATATATATTAATGCCTAAATTATTAGGTATCTATATTCACATGAAAACAAGGAAAGGTCTTGATTAATCTTCTTATAAATATGGAAGATCTGGACTGATCTCCTTATAAATTAATAAGAATTCTATAATTCTATAGAATTCTACTAATACATACTAAAAGTATAAAAGCAAGTGATTCTTTCATGTATCTAGTTAGAAACCAGAGATCCTAAAATATCAAAAATCAAAGTCCACATTCAGTGGCAAAACCCACCTTTATTATATATACTATTAAAACCGCCACCCTATACCTAATTAGGTATAGTTAAGGCTAGGTATATATA